GCTAGCGAAATATTTTTACATGGAAATTGTAGATCTCGTCGTCCTCTACAAGAAAGGTCCTATGCAATTTTCCCGTATCTCCAAGGGTTTAGGAGTTATTAAGGAAAAACGAAATTTTTTTCCAAAAGTTCGCCGTTTCGACGCTGGGATGGTCGGATTTTGTCAACATCAATAAAATGCCAAATAATCATACGTAACTCGTTAAATATCGAAATTAGAAGGAAAATGCACTATTTTTAATTATCGGAAATGCATTTTTCTAAGGTACATAAGCTTTTGGAATTGACTATATAGCCAATACATCCTTAAGACTTTTAAACAGGAGTGCACATTTCACGTTGTAACGGAATCAAGTAATTTCATATGATAATCGAATCACTGATTTCGAAAGAAAAGGAACGCCTTCTTCTGAAATTCAGTGGTTTCCTGATTCTAGACCGTGTAACACGATGATAATTGAACAGAAAAGTGAATTTTTGCTCTTTTCGAAGTCAACGATTCGACGAATGATGTGATTAAAACGTACGATTCGGATCGTTCACGAGCAGAATCGTCCAACCTGTCGACAGGAGGAGACTCGTTGATGGGCTCAGGATCGGAAGATGAGGACGAAGACGGTAGTACTCACCATCATCACAGCGGTGTCAGCGGTCCTCACTTGGGCCATAATCTCGGTACAGGTGGTCCTGGCGACCAGACGGTCGGCCACACCGGCGATCTACCTCTTGGGAGCGATCCTTGCAAGCAGGAGGACTCCGAAGATCAAGGTAAATTATCTGTAAAAGGAAAACACATTGATTCAGTGATCAAATAATTCCATGTATCGAATCTATAAATTAATGACGAATATAGAATGCGGATTTTATGCATTTATGGGAAAATGATGTCTGTAGAAAATATAGTAAATGCAAATATAGAATGTGCAAGAACATGTGCAACATAAAAAATAAAATACATATTTTTGTCTTTGGAGGATAAAAGAAATTCAATATCGAGATTTCCTAAACTGGCATTAAAAATGATATACTTTGCATAAGAATCCACAGTCTATTAACGAGACAGAAATTGATACAGTAACTTGAGAAGCAAAACGACATTTCATATGCGTCAATCTAATATAATAATAGAATACAATGGGTGTAGGGGTTAATAGAGTTTCTACAGAAAAAACGGTGTCGGAGAAACGGTAACCCTCCGCGTATACTCGATTTGGGAAGGACGTTTGACTAACGACTTAATCGCGGCCAATCTTGGGGTTCGAGGGAGGAAAGCTCGAGACTCGTAGCATCGGTACGAATTACTAAGCACGTCAGGTCCTCCCTATTATTCGCTTCTGCTCTTTTATCGCGGACGCAACAAAGACCCCACGATTTCACCTCTCCGGCATACACCGGGTACAAGCATCTATGCCGTAGAGAAAGGGAGGGGTGTCTTCGCGAAGGGTGGCCCCTGTAGTGCGGCGTGACACTGTCCAAACATTTTCTTTGTCCCGTGGTTAAGACCTCCCCGGGTATATATAGATTATCGTGAAGAGTTGGGCTCGAAAACTGTGTGTACGTTCTCTATACATAGACACCGCGCATTGTGCGCACACGCGTTCGGCTATAGAGTGTAGCTTTCAACCGTGGTACGATAATCCGATGGGGGTTTCGCATCGCTTCCAGGGGATTGGCTCCGATTGTTGTTACCTCGATCAAGATTCCAAGATATCGAGGCATTATGCACGCGTGTATGACTCGTTAAGAGAGTAAAAATCCGACCGACACCGAGGGACCGGGGTGGCTGTTTAAAATCGAATATATTCTAATCGGCTGTGTTTTCGGTTTTGTTGATGCACGGTGAAATTACCCCGAAGAGTCAACAGCCCGGACTCGTTCCGCGGTGGAGCGTGTTTGCTCTGTTCGATCAATTTATTAAACGAGTTTGTTTGCGTTGGTCGAAGGTTCTCTGGACGGCGATCCCGAAACGAGGGACAGCCAAACGGAAAACAAAAGTCCGGATGGCGGTGCCGGCGGTGGTAGCGGCGACGGCGGTGCTGGCTCGAAAAGGCGAGGTCCGAGGACGACCATAAAGGCGAAACAGTTGGAGATTCTCAAGTCGGCCTTCTCCTCCACTCCCAAGCCCACCAGGCACATCAGAGAACAGTTGGCGAAAGAGACTGGCCTACCCATGCGCGTAATTCAGGTTCATAAACTTTATCAGACAATCGTACTGTCCTATTTCAACGAGTTTTCACCGTATACGATATTAAACAGCGTGATTTAACTTTTTCGTGAAGCGGAATAAGTCGACGTGTATAAAAAATGGGTTGGATGGGTGTGCGTAGGTCTGGTTCCAGAACAAGAGGAGCAAGGAGCGTAGGTTAAAACAACTGACGTCGATGGGCAGGAACCCGTTCTACGGCGGCTCGAGAAAAATGAGGGGCTTCCCTCTAAACCTGAATCCCGGTGCTTTGGGCGGCGAGGACGGACCGCCGCCCGGTTTTCCATATTTCGGCGCGGAGAAATTCGAATTCGGTTACGGCGGGCCCGTGGCGTTTCACCACGAATTCTTTGGTGCTCATCCGCCCCCTCATCCCCATGGACCGCCTTTCAGCGGCCCTGGTAATCCTGGTAACTATTAGAATTCGATTCGACCTCGATTCACCCGGATCATTCAATTAAAATTGTTATGCAATTAAAAATCTAGATTTCTTTTGTAAAATACCAAATAGTTTTGTAATTCAATTGATCAATTTATCGGAATCGCTAGATTTAAATCGTGTTGCAATTAATGATCGAGAACATCCAAGATTTCGTTTGCGAAATACTACGACACAGTTTCGTAGCTGCCCGATCGTGGCACGGGGTTGTTAACATTTTGCATGAATACGGGAATCGAAAGCAGTGGTCTCGTCTCGAATTCTATCGCGATTACAATAAACATCGTGGCGGGTAGGTAGGTCGCGATAATTATGACAGCCGGGTTCGGAGATAGTAGGCCGGATACGATCCTCTCTGAATAGTACACGTAATCTGTTCCTGACAGGTTTGGACCCGGCGAGTTTAGCGGGTATGGCGGCTGCAGTGGCGGTGACAGGGGAGTATCCACCTCCGGGCGCGGGAGGCGGCCCTCCGGAATTTCTCACGGGCCCTCCTGGACAGGGGCCCCCTGCACCTTCCGGCGGTAGCCCCGGCGAGTTCCTAGCGCCTTCAGGTATGACCAGATCCTTTTGAACGGTCACACGCGCCACAACTATTTTTACGCTCTTCGTGTCATTCCTTCTGTTCCATGTACAAATGTATATAGTCGCTAATATTAAATTTGATAATGTACAATAAAATTGCAAGACGATAGTAAGGGTTGTCGGAAATTAGAACGAGACGATTTCGTTGATTCTTTATCCCTTGGGTCCCACGATTTATCAGTGGACTGCAGATTTTATGCACTTATTAAAGAATCGATGGAAAGATAAATGCGTGATCGAAAGGAGAATGCATATTGCAGTAATTAAAAGAGGTTTCCATTCGCGATGCATTCTTCTGTTTTCTTACGTATGAGAAATCAGCAGTCCAACTATGGAACACCGATAGATTCGATGGGTTTGATATTTCTCAGGTGGAGCACAGGGTAATCCCAGTGCCGGTGGGAATGGTGGCGGTCCAGGCGGCGGCGGAGGCGGGGGTGGGTTCTTGGAGCCGCACCAGATGCAGAGCGAAGGGCTGGCCTGGTAGTACGAGTTTTAATTACCGTTCATTTCTTCGTGTTTTGTTGCTCTCCATCGAGCTTCTCGGCGCAAAATCGATATTTCCGAGAAACATCGAGCGTTCCCGCGCAACTGACGATGGGGAGATCGTACGACTTTGTTCCGGTCCGACTCCTTTCAAGGAGAGAACCAGGTCGACTTTGCGAACTGCACGTTATTTTTTGTAAGATACCACGGTAACAATTTGATCGTTTCAGCTTCGTTTCTTTCACGGTTATCATTGTCATTACTGACATTATTATCTTTATTATTATTATTATTATTATTATTATATTGTCGTCGGCGAGAATATCGACGTTACTATTATTATTATTATTATTATTATTATTATATTGTCGTCGGCGAGAATATCGACGTTACTATTATTATTATTATTATTATTATTATTATATTGTCGTCGGCGAGAATATCGACGTTACTATTATTATTATTATTATTATTATTATTATATTGTCGTCGGCGAGAATATCGACGTTACTATTATTATTATTATTATTATTATTATTATATTGTCGTCGGCGAGAATATCGACGTTACTATTATTATTATTATTATTATTATTATTATATTGTCGTCGGCGAGAATATCGACGTTACTATTATTATTATTATTATTATTATTATTATATTGTCGTCGGCGAGAATATCGACGTTACTATTATTATTATTATTATTATTATTATTACGAATTTATTAAATATTATTATTAATATTATTGTGTATAAAATTCCGAGCGTCCTATCGTGTAATATTATACCCTCCCTGTTGATTACTTTTCGACGTTAATTTTAAGAGAAATCCTGTAGATATCTATTGTTCTACACACCCGCGACCGCGTTCGATGCGGCGTACGAAAAAGAAAAAAAAAAAACTACACGAACCGACATACTTCCGTGTATGTTAGACACGCACAGAGACAGAACAGGTATACACACGCGTACACACATGAGTACACATGCGTAATTCAACACTTAAAGACAAGAAACCGCTGTACTAATTATCATTAAAAAAGTATAAATATAAATAGGAATGTGTAACCTGTAACTGTTAGGGCGGCGATCGATGTAAATAAATCTGTCTTTTCCTTTTTCCGCGAACCTAACGCGGGAAATATTTGTTGGCCGAGTTCTATTCACCGAACTTACTGTCTGTAATAATGTAATTTGCATTGCAAACGTCACGCGAGAGAGACGCCGCCGCGATGCATAATGATTATAAATATTATAATAAACCATCTCGTATTTCCGTATACCTACAGTTGTGTGCCTTTTTTATCCTTAATACATCATTACAGTAAATACTTCGTAAAATGTAATAAGAAGAAAGAACGAAATTAGCCAGAACAGTAAGTAATTAATTAAATCATATTTCCTTTTCTTTCTTTTATCCTTCTTTTCAGTTTTAAATATATTGCTTCAATAAATGCTTTATGGAACGTAACAAGAAGAAATAGTGACTAAATAATGAAATCACGTCGCACGAGAGAGACACTTTTTTCCCGGAAGGAAATCTCGACTTCTTTCGTTCCCAGCGGGGCAAACACCTGAGACTATCGAGACTCGTCGAATCCTTTTGCCCTTAAACCGTCGCCCGCAAACGCATCTGCGCCAAGCGTGAGCTAACGTCGTTAGCGGGTGCAACGTCGTTCTCCACGAGGAAAGCAAGGGAGATTCGTTTTCCTGGACATCTGGTGAATTCGATTTTGATGTGTTTCTGCCCTACGGGGGTTGCTCCTCGGGGCTCGATCGTCGGCGTTCCCGTATCCCTGACAGTCCCGCTGGGGACAGGAACGATGCTGCAGCATCGCTGCCCGTACATGTGTGCGTACACACGTCGGCTATCGACCCCCGGCGACCGATCCTACAAGTGTGCCTCCCTTAAGTACGTGCGCAGAACTCGTGGCCCGCTGTCACAGTTTACCATCACGTCCCCAGGTAGTTCTATATTTTTCACCACCGCGAGAACGTGCCACCGAGCACCTTTTAATACTGCAGACGCCGTTTTGTCTTCCTGACATCTTTACATGCTCCGCTATACATTATGGATGTTCCTTTTTATTCTTTTGCTGAAACGGTATTGGTAAATTTCACACGGCTTTATACGCGTCTCTGTAGTTCCACGAGATGCGTCGTGTGTTGATTTAAAGTTAGTGACTAGGATCGTCGTTGTACGGAGCATTCGCTAAATCTTTTCATCCCCTATCTAGCTACGATCTCGCGGGAGTTTATCGTGGAATTTAACCGGATAGAGAGCCGAGTGTGTACATTGTAACGGCGATTCGTAAGGACCGAAGGGCGTCAGCGTAGCGTGTAATGCCCGTCCTGACGGATCCGAAGATCCATCGAGAGATTCGACAGATGCGTGCCCGCCTCCACACCCCGGGAACTACCACGGGGGTCTCGCGGGACTCTTGCTGAGACAAACCGTCCCAGCGGGTCGGTATACACCCCATCGTATCGTTTTTGTTACCCTCTCGCGAAGAATTTGCGCCGAACCGAATTTACTACGTTGTGATTGCATTTTGATACTTCTAATAATTGAAGGGTTCGTAATAACTTGTTAGAACTCATGTCAATCGTGTTCTCATCGTTGCATAGAACGATCTTTAAACAGAGAATGAGTGACGGTACTTCGTTGTCAGAATTATACACATCGTATCGTCTTTGTTACAGTCTCGTTAAGAATTCGTAGGTTGTGATTGCATTTTGATACTTCTGATAATTAAAGCATCCGTAATAATGTTTGTTAATAATTTTTTCTCATCATTGGATCGAAAGATCGTTAGACGAAAATTATGTAAAGGTTCTCCGCAATTCGATTATTGACGAAATTTCCGTTAAAAGAGAGACGTACTCGCTATCGTTCTGAAGGAAGGGACAGGGAGGGAAGGGAAGACAGAGGGGTGGCTGCGTGTCACAGTCGAAAGCGTTTCAAACAACTCACGTGTCCGAGCACGTGTCGGGAAACAAGCCCCGTCGCGCAAACCCCCGTCCGTGCTTCTTCTATCATTATGCAAGGAGGCCTTACAAATCACGCCCTGCTTACCGCGCACGTTCCGAACCCTACTACCCGTCACCGGCTCGAATTAACGTGCCAAAGCTACCAATTAACCCTTGCCTATTGCCGTCTGAACTCTGATTTCCTTCCGAATTATATTTATGCAGCATTTGTTAAACAAAAATTAATTGTCAGTTTCAATTATATCGTTCGATAAACGATACATTGAAGTAGAAAATAGGAGAAAATAGTGCAGATCTTATTATTATGTGAGGAGCGTCGGAGTTCTCTCGCAGCTGTCCCCAAGCTGAATTATTAAACGACGCATAATTTTGGATTATGTGCACTCCGTTGGAATTCACGTAGCATTCTTCCGTGAACCGACGGTTCTTGGAAGCATATAAATTCGTGGCGGAACACCGTATCGGGCACAATGGGAACGTCTAGCGGCGGTTGTCACCGATCGAGAAACGAGGCGCGGATGAAACGTGTCTTTTCGTGGCGCGGTCTCGACTTATTTTCGTCCCGGCTTCAACCGGACAGGCGGCAGAAGTGTTCGGAACGACCTCCTGGTGGTTCTGAGCTTAGGCTAATCCGAAATCCGGATTACTTGTGCCTCAGCTGGTCCAGTCTTACCGGGCCATGTCGTGTAACAGCGATACGCTGTTTTTTCTGCCGCGTCGGATACCCTCAGCGGTCCGGACACGAATCGGGAATAAAAATTCCAACGTTACGCTCGTTTCCAAACTCGAATCGAACCGTTTAAGGACGATCTACATAAATATGCTTATGCTAATTGGCCGCGTATTGTCCGCGCGTTGATCCGCGGATCTGCTGAATCACGTGCACGCAAACACCTCGATAAAAGCGCGTCTGCCTGGAACGGAAGTTCTTACGGCATTCTCATTACCGAGACACGCGGCGACGAATGCAAATGACTCGCTTTATTTTTTCGTCCAAAACGCGTAATAGAAATCTTCCACGATAAACATATTGTCGAACGATCGACTGTATGAATTGTTAACATTTCTTTGTGAATATCTTGGTATCAAGATGGATGAAAGACATTTTTATAGAACGCACCTATACAGAGCCGCGGGCGTATCTACCCTCTCGAGCTGCTTATCGGTGCTTCCACCCTGGCCGACAGCGAGATAAGTATTTGCTATTTAAAATACCAGTCCTCGGGTCCCAAGATAAACTGTTCGTGCGTCTAGTAGGGTAGGCGAAAGGGCGCGAAAGAGAGTGTAGGACCGAGGGAAAAAGAGGGGTTGATTATAAACCGAAGGCGGCGGCAGGGGGATGAACAGGACGCCGTTCGAGGGTGGTAGAGTGTGCAGCAACAGCAACAGCAGCCACGGCGGTCCACCGTGAGGGTGGTTTATGGGGGGTTGTACCGGGTATTGTTGTATAAATAGGTTTGGCGAGTTAGGGGTTGCTACCCCCGAGGGAACTGCACATGTCCGCATCGATTATACCACCCCTTCCTGACCCCCCGCTTGCTACGTGTGCCTGTGTCTCGCTTCCGTCGCTCGTTTTCTCTCACTCCTTACGGGCCTCTTCTCGATTCTCTACCACCGCCGGTGGGTGGCTTCAACCTCCGCCCTGTCGTACGACGTCTCTCTCTTTCCCTCAAATGCAACCCTTGTGTGCCCTTTCTCCCCGCGCTGCCTGCGGGGCATACCGCTCGGTTATTTTCAAGCCATTTGCTTTGTAAACGCACGCAATCTCGACCAGTCACCCTCCCCTGGACTTCTTCTCCCCGATAGACTCCCTCGCGCCCCACCCCACGCGCGAGAACTTTGAATATTCCTATTTTCTAACTGGTAACAGTTTCGAGAGGAGGAAATCCAGAGCGAACAGGTGGCAAACGTTACTGAAACGAAAATCGCCACGTAGTTTGTCTGCGAAATAGCCACGAAGAATGTGAAACAGTTGCAAGTTCTAAGGTCAGCGGAAACAAGGATTAGAGAATGGTCTGGCCTCGAGCGTTCCGATCCTTAGGAATTATTTATTCGTTCTACGCGTGTTTACATATCGTTCCCTTTAATATTACATCCCCGTTGCCGCTAAACCGAGGGTTGCCCGGTTTGTTACCGTCCGCATTTATAAAACATCACTCCGTTCATATTTCTTCTTAAACCCTGCTGGCAGCCTCCGTCTCCGGCCACCGGTTACACAGCGTTTACTTATCGGGGGTCGAATTCGCGAAAGCGAAAGGGTCGAGGCGAGCTTTAATACCGCTTTGGGGTCGGGAATACCTCGCACACCTCCAGCCACAAGTGGTACCCCGACCGGGTAAGCCCC